CGCCTCCCTTGCCCCCTTTGCCCTTGCCGCTGCGGCGCCAGCTCGAAGTGGACGCAGTCCCGACCTTCTCAGCACCAAGGAGGTCGGCAGCAGAAGCAGAGGCTACAGAGGGAAGAAGGGGGGAAGGGGAACACCCCTCAAAGAAAGGGGTGCGGGGGTCGCCACGAGAGGCACCTACAGCGACTATGCTAGCCTCAGCTGCAAGTAGTTCCTTCTCGAGGAGGGCAATGGTGAGCTCAGTGGGGCAGCGAGATAGGAAGTGATCCCTGACTGCACGCAGAGTGTCAGGGAGGCGGGTGACTAGGTGGTAGAGAGTGAGCCAGAGCGGGGGGGGGTTCGTGGCAAGAAACTCATCGGGCATAGCGGCACGGAAGCGGGCCTCACTAGTACGGAGGTGTGTGATGAGGTCAGCGACTGTGTGGAAAGAGGCCAGGTCGGGGAACAGGTAGGGGAGTGAGAGACGGCCTAGCGCGGCAGAGGCAGGTGAGGAGTAGCGGGCAACGACAGCGGTGTACAGTGCCTGTGCAGTCTTGTGCTGGCCAAAGTGCTCGCGCTCATCTATCGGCAGGGAGTTGCGAATAGCAAAGCGAGCGTGGGCGTCACGAGTCTGCCACTGTGAGCGGGCAGTGCTGTCAGCAGTAGCAGCAGGGGCAGTGGCATGGCCTAAGGCGTGATCGTACAGTGAGATGTCTTCTTTGGCAGTGAGTTGTAGGAATAGGTGCAGGTCATCGAGCCAGGTGTCAAACTTCACTGGGCGGCCCTCAGCATCGAAAGCTAGCACAGGAGGGCTAGCCATAGTGACAGTAGGAGCAGTAGCAGTAGTAGTAGCAGAAACAGCAGTAGTGACAGTACCAGTGACAGAATCAGGGGCGCGGCTCGGTAGGGCGGCGCGGCTCGGGCCGGGTGACGCGGTTCGGTGGGGCGGCTCGGCTCGGCTAGGCAGCGGCTACTCGAGGTGGGGCACGTGAGGGAGTGCAGGGCAGAGTGGGGCGGTCCGCACGGGGCACGAGGTGGCGAGCTAGCTAGGGCGGGGCCTGGTCGCACGGGGCCAGCAAGGGCGGGCTAGTGGGGCGGGGCCGGTACGCTAGGGGCACGCGAGGGCGTGCAAAGCGGCTGCTCTGGGTCCAGGGGCGGCTGCACCAGGGGCGGCTGCTTCAGGGGCCAGGGGCGGCTGCTCTGGTTCCAGGGGCGGCTGCTCGAGGGTCCAGGGGCGGCTGCACCAGGGGCGGCTGCTTCAGGGGCTGTAGCAGCAGTAGCTTCAGTCAGGAGCAGCTGCAGTAAGCGCTGGAGTAGGAGCTGCAGCAGTAACACTAGCTGTAGCAAGTGTACTAGTAGGAGCTGCAGCAGTAGCACTAGCTGTAGCAAGTGTAGTAGTAGGAGCTGCAGCAGTAGCACTAGCTGTAGCAAGTGTAGTAGTAGGAGCTGCAGCAGTAGCACTAGCTGTAGCAAGTGTAGTAGTAGGAGCTGCAGCAGTAGCACTAGCTGTAGCTGGAGTAGTTTCAGACAATAGTAGCTGTAGTAAGTGCCGTAGTAGCAGTGGCAGCAGTAGCACTAGTTGTAGCAGCACTAGCTTCAGTAGCAGCAGCAGTGAGTAACAGTAACACGGGCCGCGTGCGGGCCAGTCGCGGGCTGTAAGGGCTGCGTGCGGGCCTGGCGCGGGCTTTACGCGCTGGGTGCGAGCCTGACGTGAGCTGTACGGGCTGCGCGACGGCCTGGCGCGGGCTGTACGGGCTGCGCGACGGCCTGGCGCGGGCTGTACGGGCTTCGCGACGGGTCTACGCGGGCTGTACAGGCTTCACGACGGGCCTACGCGGGCTGTACGGGCTTCGCGACGGGCCTACGTGGGCTGTACGGGCTTCGCGACGGGCCTACGCATTCAGGGGGGGGTCGCACGTGACTAGGAGGGAAAAAAATCGCGTCTAGGGAACCGTCTCGCCTAGAGCACGGTTTCGAATTTCGCATTTCTCCTAGGGGCACGACTCGGGCAGTAGATCGAAATAGTAGTGGTGGGCCCTTTTTTAAAAAATCGGTCCTAAGGAGCATTGTGCTCTTAATACCATGTTAGAATCACTAGCTAGGGAACGAGAAATGATGATTAGGTGAAGATTGGGGTACAAGACTAGAGTGTCGAGACTATTTGTGTACCCCTTAAGGCTAGCCCCAATATAGCCTAGATACAATTATGCATATGTTTTGACAGTACTTGTACCCAACTCATTGCTAGTTCATTCATTCTCGTTCGTTCTCTTGACAAAACCCGCCGGCATTTGCGACTACCAACGAAAGCTAGGCTGTCTACTCTTCGCATCCGTTACCTGCCGTCCGGACCTATCTTACTCAGCTAGTCAACTCGCCACCTACCTTAAGAAGCCCGAAGCAGAACACATGATGGAGCTCGACTGTGCACTTCACTACCTCGTCAGCACCCCGACGATCGGACTAACCTATCACAAGACCGGAACTACGACACCTAAGTTAATCGGCTACGTCGACGCCGATCACGCTGGAGATTCTGACAACAGGCGATCTCGAACTGGCTACATCTATCGACTCGAACCTATCGGCCCTATCACAAGGCAGTGGAACAAGCAAGAGCTAATCGCTCTCTCCTCAGCCGAAGTAGAATACATCGCACTCTGCTCAGCCACCAAGGAAGGATTATATCTTCGCGAATTGTTGGAAGAAGCAAAATTGGCTTAGTTACCCAGCTTCTTCCTCTTCTGCGACAACCAATCGGCCATTCGCATAGCGAAAAAAAAATGGGTTTGCGAATCGAACGAAGCACATCGCCCTCCGGTACTTCTTCGTAAAAGACGAAATCGAGAAGGGAAGACTCGAGTTATCCTACTGTCCCACATCCGAGATGGCAGCCGTTTACTTGACCAAGAAACTCGGAAAACATAAGTTTGAGTACTGCATGCTGCTGACTGGACAAGGACACGTCATCAGCAGCGACACTCCAGAAGCGAAGGGGGGTGTTGGAAACAAGTAATTTAACGCTTATGAAGTAATCGAAGTATCGACACAAAACGAAGCAGACTACAGCAAAGCAACACGCGAGTCAACAAAAGCAACAGCTAGAGGTTACACGAAGGTCAAAGGTCGCTGGCCTTTGACTCGACGAAAATACAGCGCGACAGCAAGGACACATTATTGACTCGATATTGAGCAGATACCCGAGTCGTCACTGTATCGAACCGCAACAGCAAAAACAGTTAAAGTAAAACCCTTCATATTCCTTGTAATCGTATAAAAGCTTTGTATCTCTTTGCCATTATCAACTTATCTTGTTCTCACACACTAGTACCGTATCGCCCCGGATATAAGCGCAGGCCTATTAAAAGCGCATGCGCTTATATATGGAGCAATGCGCTTATGGCCGATCCTCAATTATAAGCGCACCCAGGGCTGATTTTATCAGGGTAATTACCCTGATTTCAGGGTGATTTCAGGCTTTCCACTTCGTGGAGACTGAAATTTCATAGTTATTGAATTTCCAGCCCTGATCCAATCAGAGTAATAGTTTAGCTATCCTTGATTTTGAGTATAGTGTAACAGACTAGGCTGTTAGTGGACCCTGACTTAACAGAGTATCGACTGTGTGGACCCTGACTTATCGAGAGGAAGTTTCTCGGAAGTTTCCTTCCGATGACCCCGCCTTGGATTGATCGCAGTGATCCCCCCACATGTGCGTAATCCCCCCCCTTCCCGCTTTATCGAGACGAAGTTTCTTCAAAACTTCGTTCTGATCGAAACTTCGAGACTTTATGGAGAGTGGGGATATTTTCCCCGACTTATCGAAAGGAAGTTTTTTCGGAAGTTTCCTTCCGATGACCCCGCCTTGGATTGATCGCAGTGATCCCCCCACATGTGCGTAATCCCCCCCCTTCCCGCTTTATCGAGACGAAGTTTCTTCGAAACTTCGTTCTGATCGAAACTTCGAGACTTTATGGAGAGGGGATATTTTCCCTGGTAACAAAGCGCGCGTTACTACTCTGATGTTCAGTTCTCGACCCTGAACAATCAGTGTTAACTACTTTACAACCCTGAGCAATCAGGGTACTGCTTTTCTGGAAAATGTGCACCCATAATAGAGGGGGAAAATTTTCCCCAGAATCAGGGAAGCTTAAAATGAAACGTCAGCCCTGAGCGCACCCCATGTAAAACCTTGTTTTATTATAAGCGCATGCATAATTTTTATTTAAAACCTGCTAAACACAGTAACGAGTTGCAAAATCGAAGCGATCCTAATTTCTTAATCGCTTCGTTTGACTCGTGATGACCTCAGAACTGCGTGTCAGGTCATGTGCTGGCATAGGGGCAAACTAACGTGTCTCTGCCCCTGTGTGTTGAAAAAAATTCGGTAGCGCGGGATTCTGATTCCTGGCGCTATAAAATATTGCCTCGATTGGAATGGTACGACTAAGATGTACATTTTGATGCTATAAAGTTATATATCTGTATCTGTCATTATATAAGCGCATGCGCTTATAAAAATGACTCAATTAGAAGCGCACCCCCCTAAAAATCTCTGCTTTATTATAAGCGCAGGTGCGCTTCTATCCGGGGTAATACGGTACAAGGTGGTTCAGCAAACTCTGATAATACGATTCCGCAACCTACAACATTCCTACTCAAAAGATCTTAGCCTTGAAAAGATCCTAAGGGCTAATTCTCAGCCCAACACACCTCTTGATGTAGCATACCGTCAGGCCTCTGGCTAGGATTTGGAACCCTTTTTCACATCAGATTATGTCCCTCGGACCACGCTTTCTCTAAATGTGGATATTACACATGGTCTTGAATGTATGATAAAGGGAAAATAAACCCTGATGGGGAGCCATGACGCCGTCACATATATCCCCCCAAAAACACCTCTGCTACCCAGAAAAAAACCAAAAAGCTTTTTGCTAAGAATCAACATTTGAAGTATAATATGCTTCTAATTCCTTGAAGCAAGATGCTTCCTTGCAGGCACAAATCAGGCACTCATGCATCATCTAGCCATGTGCCACGTCAGCAGCACACTCATGCCACGGGCCAACCACAGCATGCCAGCACGCATTCGGGGGAGCAGAAGCCGCAAGCACATGCATGACTGCCGCCCGTGCATGCTCGTCCCAGGCCCTCGCCATGGCTGTGAGCGTGAGAGGGCCCTTGGCAGCGCGCATGGCTCTGGTAAAACGGTCCATGGCGTCTTGAACCACGGGGGATCTGTGGTGGGCAGGAAGAGGAATGGGAAGAAAGGGAGTGGGGAATAAGAATAAGCGCTCATCTCACGGCTGTGCTATGGGTGTGAACGTGAGAGAGCCCTTGGCAGCTCACATGGCGCAGGTAGAGCAGAGGCGCCTTGAACCACGGGTGATCTGCAGTGGGCAGGGAAGGACCGTGAAGGATGGGAGGAACGGGAATAATGGGAAGAATGGGAAAACCGTGAGTAGAAAGAATGAGGTTATGTGCTTGTTCGATACTGTGGCCGTGGTTGTCCGCTTTAGGGGGCACAGCAAAGAACAGATGATTCCCCCCCCATGGAATGGTCCAACACGCAGCTCCTAGGAAAACAGCATCCTCTTGGTGAGTGATAGGGAAGGGGGAAGGGGCGAGGGGGGGATGAGGTTGGAAGTGGGATGGGAGTGATGGAGGATGGGCGAGGTTCGGATGGTCCGAGATAAGAGGTGGGGATGAAGTGTGTTGATCAATGTTTGAATTGATTTGAGACACCTGGGAAACACTGGGGACCACTTGAGATCATGGGTGTGTGGAGGCAGAGGGAGAACATGGGTTGGTGTAGCAAAGAACACGAGACATGAGCATGGCACTGGCAGAGCAGAGCAGAGCAGTTGACAGGAGCAGAGCAGCAGGCAAGGAGGGCAGAGCACCTGGCGTGCGGGTGGGCTTGGAAGGGCCATGGCTGGGGCGAGCAGTGTGGGTAGGAGCCGGGGACAAGCAGGCGGAGGGGAGGGAAGGGAATGCCCACCTGTGAAGCGGAGGCATTGCAGGGCGGCAGGGGGATAGAGGGATGGAGGGGGGAAAGCGGGGTGCATATTAGCTGGTGACTGGGGAGATGGTTCCGGAAAAGAACTCGGGATTTTCGTGAAGTCGTCATTATGTGTGAGTTGTGAGACGCCTCAAACAACTTTGAAGCGCTCGGCTTGGGAAACTCTGAAAAGGTGAAGAACCGATCTTGCCCGCACATGGCTTGTGCGCACACACAGAACAGCAGGCACAGATGAGAGGTGCCCCAACGTTTGTCTTCTTTGAAGCGGGAGAGGATCAGATCAGATGAGAGGTTTGCAACATGAGAGGGCGACATTAATGTGAGAGGTGTGTGCATGGAGGGAATGACAAAGTGCTGCCGCATTGAAAGAGCCATCCTTAACCAGGGCCTTTCAGGCACCTCAAAATAGACCAATGGCAATGCGGAATACTTCTATAGGAAATAGAATGAGAGAAATGTCAAAGTGCGCGAGTTTTAAGGCGTCTCAAGACTCGTCTCGATTCATGTAGGGATGAGATCATAGGTGTGCGTGGAGAGGAAATGTCAAAGAGCGACAGCACTGACGCACCATCCTTGCCCAGAGCTTTTGAGTCGCCTCGAAACAGCAGCAACACAGAATAGCTCGATGGGTGAGGCGATGAGATGAGAAGGGCTGACATGACACGAGGTGGCATGAGATGAGATGAGATGATGGGTGCGTGTGGCATACCGAGGGGATGTCAAATTGCAGCAGCACTGCAGCGCCATCCCTGCCCATGGCTTGCGCTCTCCTGCTCTCCCGCGGGCTGACCTCCACACTCGTGTCGATCATCTCCTCGTTCACCTGCTCTGCCTCCCATGTGAGCGCAGCGTTGAGCTGATGCCATGGCACGGTGTGATCGAGGGGTGCAGTGCACAGGTGGAGCACAGAGCGGGGGGAATGGGAGGCGGGAATGGGAGGCGGGAATGAGAGGGGGGAATGAGAGGGGGGAATGAAAATATGAAACGGGTGGGATAATTGAGAGGGAGATTTGAGAGGGAGGTTTGAGAGGGAGATTTGAGAGGGAGATTTGAGAGGGAGATTTGAGAGGGAGGTTTGAGGAGGTTTGAGAGGGAGGTTTGAGATGGAGGTTTGAGATGGAGGTTTGAGAGGGAGGCTTGAGAGGGAGGTTTGAGAGGGAGGTTTGAGAGGGAGGTTTGAGAGGAAGGTTTGAGAGGGAGGTTTGAGAGGGAGGTTTGAGAGGGAGGTTTGAGAGGGAGGTTTGAGAGGGAGGTTTGAGAGGGAGGTTTGAGAGGGAGGTTTGAGAGGGAGGCTTGAGAGGGAGGTTTGAGAGGGAGGTTTGAGAGGGAGGTTTGAGAGGGAGGTTTGAGAGGGAGGTATGGCAATTGTTGTCGTTCACTCCTCTCCCATCTCTCGTCACTCGCTTCCTCGCCGAAGCAGCCCGGGGTAGCTAAGAGATGCAAGTTGGTGTAGTAGGCACTGCCAGTCCCCACCCCACTGCCAGTCCCCACCCCACTGCCAGTCCCCACCCCACTGCCAGTCCCCACCCCCCCACTGCCAGTCCCCACCCCCCCACTGCCAGTCCCCACCCCCCCACTGCCAGT